CCTGTTTCGCTCCCAGGCTGGGGTAGGGAAAAGTCCAACCTGGATCTTTCTTAGGGTCACTTGCCACCCTGGGAAGGAGTCCAAGCCTCATTGCCTAAGGCGCTACTCACTGGGTCAGGGCTGAACTCGATGGGTGTGGGGTCCTTGCAGCTGCACACACTCCCATAGCCCTCAACTTTGCTGCAGAAGCGCCGTCGGCGACGGTTCAGCTCTGTGTCTGCCCAGTGGCACTCTGCCTCTGAGGAAGGGATGGGATCGATGGGATAGGAACATGAGGCCATAAGGTTTGGAGAGCCCCAGGAATCCAGTCGAGAATAAATCCCCCTAGAGGACCCAAATGCCATACCCAGACCAGACACTGTCCCAGAGCTTAGGCCCCACTAACCCCACCTTCAGCTGAGCTCAGTGGCACATCTGTCTTCAGCAGAACTGGGTCTCCCCAGGAGGAGAGGGCAGGTGACTTAGAATGCTTCTCCCCGAGGACAGGACCTGGCAAGGAGCAGGAATAAGGGACAATGGAGGCTCAGGCTGTTTGGCAGCTTCTTCCCATCTCCCTGCCCGCTTTCATCCAACCCACCACCACTGACTCCTATATAACCCCCACCCCACATCATATCTGGGGGGTTCTGCTCCTCCCAGACTAAAGGTACTAAGGGTGGATGGCCTACAGTGCCAGTACCTCCTTTTCGTCCCACGAAGGCCCAGGTATCCCTCCAACCCAGGGCAGGGCCAGCCTGGCTGCCCAGGCTCCTCAGCAGAGCCTTGGCCGTGTCCTTGAGGTGGAAGGAGCCCTCATCCTGGGAGACCAGAGAAGGTAGATGGTCTGACCGGCATGGTTCCAGGAGCTCAAAACATTGAGCACCATGTAAAATCTTTTACTTAAATTAGCTTATCAAATTATCACAACATCCCTCTGTTACCATTTCACAGATAAGAAAACAGAAGAAGGCTTAGAGAGAGTCTAATAATCACCCCAAATCTCCAGGCTACTAAATCCTTACAATTCCACACAATCTGTGCCGTTCTCCTAGCTATCTCTCCACCTCCTTTTCTCACCACTCTCCTGCTTTCTCTCCAGCTCAATTCGCACCTGGCTATTCCTCAAGCATACCAAGCACCTTCCCCCTTCAGAGGCTTTGTACTTGCCAGTCTTTCCATGTAGAATGCTCTCCCTCCAGATATACCTGTTTCACTCACTTCCTCTAGCTTTCTACTCACACATCATTGCCTCACAGAGGCCTTCCCTTTCTAAAACACATTCCCCATCACTGTCTCCCTTGCTTTATTTTCTTCTTCATTATCATTTTCTGACATTATACATATATTTGGCTGCTTTATGTTGGACAGGACCCTGCTGGGATGTAAGCTTCCCAAGTGCAGGGACTCTCTCATTTTCCATTGTATCCCTAGCACCCAGAGCAGTGTCTGGCACACTCAAGGTACTCGGTAACTATCTGTTGAATTAATAAAAAACAACAGGTTAGGATTAGAACTGGAGTTACCTTCCTCCAGAGGTTTTCCTACTATGCCACACTGGGGCAGAGAACCCTGGGCCATGAGCAGGGTTGAAGCTGGGAAAATAGGAGGCAGGACCAGGGCAGAGTCACTGACCTTGACGGTACAGATCAGCACTCGGCCGGGTGCTACCATGTTGAGGAACAGCACCATGGCCTCATCCTCATGAGGTGAGTATGTGTCGAACACACGCTTTGCCATCACATGGCCCTGGCAGGAGACACAGCTCTTGTGAGTTAATGTCACCTGCAAAGGGCCCAGCTTTAGTCCTCCAGGTCCCCCACCCCTTGGACCTCACCGTGGCCTGGTTGAGGACGATGACATGGATGCCCCGGCCCTGTTCTCGAGCCTCGTCCTCCAGCACCTACAGGATGGCAATGACAAAGTTGAACTCTTCACTCTCACATTCAAGGTCTGTCTTAGAGACACTTAAAAAAAAGTTTCATGAAACCTCTCCTCCTGCCTATGCCTGTTCACACAGTTCTCTTCCAACGCAGCTTGAAGGCGACCTCTTCCAGAAGCGTCCATAGCCCCTTCATCAAAGGAAATCTCATATTTCTACAACCCTCCCCTCCATGGCTCCTTGAGTTTTTTTTTTTAAAATTTATTTATTTATTTTTAAAGATTTATTTATTTATTTATTTATACAAGCACTGGGTACAGTCAGAAGTGCAGGAGGGTGAAAGAATTCACCGAGCCAGAGCGGGGAGCAGAGCAGGCAGAAGGACCGAAGCACACTGCTGAGGGGAGCAGCGGGCGGCAGGAGAGGTCTGCGTGCCATGTGGGACCCTCCTCCGGTGGCCGGGGAGCAGCCGGGGATTGAACCAGCGCTGCAGAGGCTGCGGGCAGCTTCGCAACCCAAAGCTCAACCGCTGCGCCACCAGGGAGGCCCCGCTCCTTGAGTTCTTGACAACTTTTCCCTCATGCTGGAGAGATTACAGTCCATCAGACTGAGCCCCTCAAAACAGGACCAGGTCTGATACCTCCAGGTTCCCAGGGTCCAGGACAAGACTGAAGCCAAAGAAGGGATCAGGAAGTAGCGATGAAATAAATCAATAAATTAACTGCCTAGTAATACTAATTATCACTCTGGATAATATTTCACTATATATAAGACATTTCACATGCTTTTCATTTAATCCTCCAAAGTAGAGGTCATTAGTCTCAGTCTACAGATGAGGAACTGAGGGCCCCATAGTCACACTATAGTCAGAAGCTGGCAGAGGTGCAGGTTCTACTCAGGCAGTGGATCCCAATGCCCGTGGAATCACGCCCTGAATAGAACTAAGTACCCCAGACACTGGCCCACTCACCGTAGTGCCATCCACTGCCACATATACTTTGCTGCGACTTGAGTAGACCTCCACATCCAGGACCCGCCGGGGACCGCTGCCTCTGCGCCGTGGGGGCTCCAATCGGCCCAGGGCCTCATCTGTGGGGATGCATGTAACAGGTCATGGAGATCATCTCTCCAGCAGAGTGTCATTCCTTAGGACCTGCTATTTCAGCCTTGAGATCCCAGGGGACGCCTCTCCCAGGCTCTCCACCAATACTATCCTCAGTTTGGCCTCACCATAGTCTTGCTCTGGTTCCTGGTCTTCATTGGCTTCATTGATTGCTCGCCGTGTGTCCAGGATCAACTTGATGTTGACAATGACGGTCACCAATAGGAAAAGTACAGCCCCTGTCTGAGGGGGGGATGAGGACAACTAAAGAGAAGCACCCTCTCTAGACCACTGAGGGTCTTCCCAAGAGGAGGGCCCTGGGTGCAGTGAGGGCACAGGGAGTACCTGGGGCCTGTCTCTCTTCCCACTGTATGCCCAGCTTTACTTCCCCAACCAGGGTCCAGTTTAACCAATACCTCCTCCAGGGCACCTCCCCTGACGCTTCCCCTTCATCAGGGCCCTCCCTACCCAGAGCTCCTGTATTCTTCCATTTGAAGTCTTGATTTCCTTGGTCCCCTCCACAATTAGTTCCTAGAGATGCAGCCGGTCCCAGAGAACCAAGCTGGGGATCAGAAAACCTGGGTCCTAGCCCTGAATGCCTGACAGGTGTGTGACCCTGAGGACTCTTCCTGGGCAGACTTCAGGTTTCTGTCGGAAGACTCAGAGGGTGTACTTGAGTTCTGATTCCAGAACTCTGGGCCTAAAGCACTGCCTTATAGGGACATGACACAAAGAGGTTCCTTCTAGGTACCTGCTGCCCGTCCCCAGGGTGCCAGTGCCCATAATCTAGGCTGGGATAGAGCTGGGAGGGAATTCCTGGGAGACCTGGGACATTTCTATACCTGACAGAATCTTCTCAGGGCCCGCTGGTTGGTCAGTTTATACTTCCAGGTAAGATACCAGCTCCGCTTCTTCCGAGCCCCAAAGGGCTTGATGAGGGGGTTGGGCTTCCAGTCGTCCATGCCGAATTCCGGGGTCACCACTGTCCTGGCCAACCCATGCCTTCAGGAATCTGAGGGGACCAAAGGGTCACATGGGGTAAAGCGTCCCTCTTAAAGTAGGATGCCTTCTGGGGGGATAAGGAAGACCGCTCAGTAACTCTTCCCTGCAGGCACCCCTGCGTCGTGATCTGGGGAAAGTGGCTCAACTTCTCTGGAAAGGAAACCCGGAGAGCAGACAGTCAGACCCCTGGTAACCGTCAGGGCTGCCCAGGGCCCCGGAGGTGGAGGCCGAATAATCCAGGCTCCTCAGTCCCTACAAAGACCAAGTCCCAGGCCTTCTCCGTCCCGGGGCGGGCAAAGGGCCGCGATCCCCACCCTCCACCCCTCTCCACCCGCACCCCTCTCCTCAGGCCCCGCTCTCCTTCCGGGGCTCGGGTCCGCCCGAGGACTCGGGACATGGGCCCGGCCGCGCCGCCCCCGCCGGCCGCCCGCCCGGGGGCACTCACGGCTCAGGGGGCCCGGGCCGCGCTCGGGCCCCTCTCGGGCCAGCGCTGCTCGGCCCGGCGCGCCGCGGCCTCCGCCTCCTCCATGCCGCCGCGGCCCCGCCCCGGCCCGCCCGGCCCGCCTCCCCGCTTCCGCCGCCGCGGCCGCCGCGGGGTGAGAGGGCGGCGGGCGGCGCTTCGGGCGGCGAGTCTGCGGCCCTCGAGCGCCGGGCTGCGGGGCCGGCAGGTGGCCGGGGGGCTCCTGGAGGAGAACGGCTCCCCCGCTCCCCGGCCGGCGTCTCGGCTGAGGTGGAGCCCGAGCGCCGCGCACCGGACGCCCACGGCAGCCGGCGTTAGAGCCGCCACAGGCGTCGGGCGCAGCCGGCGCGCCCCCGCTGGCTTTGGCGAGGCTGGGGCTGCCCGGCCTGGGGAGGCCAAAGGGAAGGAGAACCCTGATGGTAGCGTTCACCTCGAGCTCGGGCCAGCCACTTCGCCTCTGTGCAGTGGGTGATTATGTGATGGACTTAGGTGATGTTTGTGCACCGTGCCAGTCTCTGGTCTAGGTACTTACATGACCTCATTCAGTTTCACAACAACTCCACGAGGTAGGTGCTCTTACTGTCCAATCTTATAAAAGAAACTGAGATCCATTGTCACAATGCTGGCTTCCAACTTAAGCGACCTGTCCCCAGGTTCTACTCTTAACTCCTGCACTGTGCTGACAGGGGTAATTCTTACAAAGTGGTCAAGTTAAATGAGCTGATACATATAAAGCGCTTAGCTCAACACAGTGGTTCTCAAACTTCAGCTTGCACTGAAATCACCGCGAGGGCGTATTAGATAAAACACAGAACACTGGGCCCCATTCTTGGAGTTTTTGATTCAGCGTCCTGGGACAGAGCCGAATGCTGCATTTCTAACCAGTTTCTATGGGATGGTGATGCTTATTGGAATTGAGTGGGGCATTTTTGGCAGGGAAGCATTATAATCTGATTTCAGAGAACATTTACTGTTTTGTGGAGAGTGGATTAAAAGGAGACAAAGGAAGCCTGAAGATCAGTTAGATATTTTTCATTTAACTATTCCATCTGCTTCATAAATTGTGGGATGATATCCCCCAGAATGTTCACACTGCTTATCTTAAGAGTTGAGGCAATAGGTGATTTTTTTCTAAGTAAGTATGTATTAGAACAGAAGAAATCCAAACCATCTTTATTAGCATTTTAAAAAGATGCCCCCCAGGGTTGATTCCCCCCACCCCCCAAATTCATTCTCTCTGGAAGATTCAACCACTCTCTCAAGACCTCTGTTACTATCTACATTTCTAAACTTTCTCCTGGGATCAGGCTGATCTGTGAGGACATCTTCACAGGTCCTTCCAATTCAGCACTACTGCTGTAATCATCTCTTGCCACGGTGGCTTCTTGGGTACCCTTCTTTAGTGAATGGCCTATCAGGCCAAACAGCTGAGAGTTTCTTGATTTCTCACCTCTCTCCTGCAACAAGTCTAGGTCTGTTTACTTATCACTCTAGTTCTGCACCACACACAATGGTGAGCACATAGTAAGCGTCCCATAATATTGATTGAAATCATTCAGTTTTTTAAATAAATATTTATTAAAGACTGCTATAAATAAAAGTCCTGTCCATCTTACCTCCTAAAGAGTCCTCAGTTCCGTTCTAATTCTCCAACCTCACAACCCACCTGTGGTTCAGGCCATTTCCGATTTCTGCCTTCCACATAGTCTTGCTTCCAGATTTTTACCCCTCCAGACCTTTCTCCTTGTAAAACGCAGAGTAACTTTCCAAAAGGCAAATTTTTTTTTGGTCAGTCTTTTATTTAAAATCCTTCCATGAGTCAAGGAAAAATATGTTACATAAAATTATACTGGTAACCATTAGATGAATTTAAAATAATGATAGAAATATCTAGGACCAATTGAAGAAGGGAATACAGAGTGTAATATTTATTATAATAGGAAGTCTGTAGAAATTATTTAAAATCAAGAAATAGTGGTAAAAGCCTATATGGAGTTATAAACACCAGGGAAAATATAGGTAAGAGTGGTTGCCACTGGAGAGTGGGGCTAAGGGTGGCAAAGAAAGGACAAGGGTAACTCTTTTTATTATCCATCCTTCTGAAAATGTTTGGATTAAAAACCAAAATCAAGCCAGGAACAACAAAAACAACGCAAAAGGTTTTCAGGGATCCTCATTGCCTATAGAATAAAATCCAAGTCTTTTAGAACCATCTTCCTATGACCTTGTTACTCAACAATGGGGGAGGGTCCCTTGGGCCAATCCTATAGCCATCAACTGGAAGCTAGTTAAAAATGCAGAATCTCAGGCTCTACCCCGGATTTGCAGAATCTTAATCGAGATTTTAAGATTCACAGATAACACATAAGCACAGTCAAGCTTAAGAAGCATCAGTCTACAGGTCAAGCATGATCTGGGGCCTTGGACCTCTTCAACAGATTGCTCTTCAATACTGATTGCTCTTCTTTGGTCGGAAGAACTTTACTTTTTATTCCTTTAGTCTAAATTTAGTGGCTACCCGGAGGGTGTGTGTGCGTAGTTAAATTCTAATCACAGTTTTAGACTCAGCTCCTTTACTCCAGGAAGCCTTCCAAAACTCTCTGCAGCCCTCCCTCACCAGTGTTTTTTAAACTCCCACGTCCCTAACTGAAAATGCCTAGCCTCCATTCGGCAAAAAATTTCTGGGCGCCTGATGCGCTGAACTGCCTAACTGGATCCAGTGCGAGGCTGGAGAGAAGCACCGAGCTCTACTTGAGTCTGCTCGCTCAGGTGCAAACCAGCATCGCCTAGTCTCCTGGGTCCGGGGGCCAACGGCTGTGCGCGCAGCTCTGGAATATTTATATACACAAACATACGCCATTGCGCGGCTTTTCTAAGCGTTACGGCACCGTCCTCCCGCCCCCGCGCCTCGCGGGCGGGGACCCACCGGTTCCGCTCAGTCCTAGCGGGGAGACAGAAGGACCCCCGGCAACCGGACCCTGGCGCCTGGTCGCCCCGCTCTGTCAAGGCAGAGGCCCGCATGGAGGGGTCAGTGGAGTCCCAGACGCCTGACCTTCGCGACGTGGAGAGCAAGGTGGGAAGGAAGACCCCAGAAGGGCTGCTGCGCGGACTGCGAGGCGAGTGGGAGTCGGAAATCTCGGGTGCCCTGCTGCTCCCAGGGGCGCCTAGCACAGGCCACGGCCTGGGGGACAAGATCATGGCGCTGAGGATGGAGCTGGTGAGTGTGGGCTCCCCCGACCAGGGCCACGGAGTCCCTAGCACAGGGCCGGAAGGGACCGACTCACGCCCCAGAGTTGAGCTGGAGAGGTGGTAGCTGAAACTCCCCACCTAACTTAGCAGGGGCCCTCCCACATCTGTTCTTAAACCTTGAGATCCATTAATTGCCCTCCTGGGTGAGTGGAGTGCGGAGGGATCCTGAAGACTTGGGGCACAAGCTCGTGGGAGTTTTTCCTGCCAAATCATTGGGAGGGGGTAGAAAGGTGAAGTCTGGGAAGCCCTGAGAACCGCACACTGCACGAATCTCATCCCTCTCCTTCATGTCAGGGCCGCCTATCCCCCCTCTCCCCCTCCTCCCTCCGCTACGATTATAACAAGGCAATCAATTTGGTCTCCTCCTGCAAACTAGTCCTGGGGTTTGTACCTGTGGCCCCAGTTTTCATGACAGGATTTTGCACAGAAGAGATTTCGATGGAAATTACCTGGATTAGGGCCACTGAAATCACCCTCTCTTTCCCCCACACTGCCCCCACACTCCACTTGAAATATTTGAAAACTCTTAGCACCTTAGCTGACACCAAGCAGCAGCTTCCCCAGCGTTGGTCCCATCATGTCTGACTCTGTCTCCCCCCAACCAGCCCTTCAGGTACACGGTACACGGGATATTTGGATCTTCTGTGTATCTCCTTCATGTGAACAGGAGGAAACAGGCACACTCTCCTTTCCCTGTTGCTGCTGGTGTAGATGAAGAGCCAAAAGAGTAGTTGCCTGCCCCCCTCCCATCACCCTCCTCAGGACCCCCAAGGCTCTGGTTCCGGTTAAGGGGGTGATTTACACCTGCTACTGCTTTGCAGCCAGTTCTGGGGAACTGAGAAATTGCCAGCAACTCTCTGGCCCAGAACCAGGAGGCCATAATGAGTGTTAGCTAATAAGTCTTTCTGGACCCTCACTGTGTACCCAGTTCTGTGCCAGCTTGAGCTGTTGAGGGAGTAGGGGTGGTGGTCATGGGAGCTCCCACACTGCTTAAGAGGCTGTGAGGAGAGCCTTGTGGACTGAGCAATACAGGAAAGATCCCCTGAGAGAAGGGTTTGAATGCCATGTGTGCACTTGGCCTTAAAGGGTGCAGGTGAGTGCCAACTTCTGCAGAGCAGGGCTGTGACTGTCCCCACCTAAGGGAAGGCTCTAGTTTCACCTCCCTGTACAAACTTTAGCTCAAGGCCTAGAAAGAGCCTACCTAGAATGTCCTGCTTTGGAAACTAACTTTCATCAAGTGCACATACCAGGCCCAGCACTTTACAAGATAGTCTCTTTTTTTTTTTATATTTTTTTAAAGATTTATTTATTTATGCATACAAGAGCTGGGGTACAGGCCAGAGATGCAGGGGGTGAGAGGATTCACCAGAGACAGAGTGGGGAACAGAACAGGCAGGCTGATGAAATACACAGCTGAGGGGAGCAGTGGGCGAGACAGGAGAGGTCTGCCTAGCCATGTGGGTTTCTCTCTGGCTGGCCGGGGATCGAACATCGGACTCATGCTGCAGAGGATGCAGGTTGCTTCATAGTGCAGTGCTTAACCCCTTGCGCCACCAGGGAGGCCCTACAAGATAGTCTCTTAATCCTCACAGCAACACTATTAGATAACTGAGGAGAGGTTATGTAATTCCCTGAAGTCATACAAAAAGTAAAACAAAACAAAAAAAAAAGCCAGACTTTGAACCCAGATGTTCTGCCTGCACTTTACATCTTTACCATTTGAGACCTGCTTTGTGCCAGACACTTTAAAACACATCTTATGTCATTGAAGTGAGGAAAGTAGTCATCATTTTCCCCATCTCACAGATGAAACTCGTTTGCAGGTGTTAAGGGACTTACCGGAGACCACACAGATTGCCAATAAAGAAACCTTGCTTTGTCTCTGGGTTTCTTTCCTGCTTTTGGTGGAGACTACCTGTTTGTAAACTTTAAAGGGGTATTTTTAATTTCTCTTTGTAGCTGTCTGTGTACTTGACCCAGCCTGACCTGGACTCCTGGGTTGCCCATGAAGAGCATAGGGGCCAGAACGGGGTGAAGCTTCTCATGTGAGCCATTTCTTCCCCCCTCTTTGGGCCAGGCATATCTACTGATAATTGATCTTTTTATGCAATCTGCTCTCCCCATTGGGTTGTACCCTGCCAGGACAAGGAGTGGGGCAGGGGATTCCCCTTGGAGCCACTTGTGGCTGAGCTTGTCCAAATCCTATAAGTACAGTTCTTCAACTGTCCCTTTCCCAGCTTACCTACAGGAAGTGGGCAGTGTTACCCTTGAGACCAAGGTCATCCCTGCTTCTCCCTGTCTTCCCTGTTGCTTCCCTCCCCTACTTAAAGGTTCAGTGAACCTGCCAGACTCTAATATGTGGGAAGGGGAAACAACAGCAACCTCCCCTCCTTAATCTCTCTACCCAAATAACTGTTGCTAGGACAACCTACTCCACTGAGCAGTTTGAGAAGAAAGGAAGGCAAGGAGGGAAAAAGCATGGGTTCCAGTTCAGGGCCTACTGCATCATTTTGTGCTCTTGAGCAGGGCTCTCTCTTCCACTGGACTCAGTTTTTCTTTTCTTTTCTTTTTTTTTTTTTAAAGATTTATTTATTTATTTATACACTGGGTATAGTCAGAAGCACTGGGTATAGTCAGAAGCGCGGGAGGGTGAGAGAATTCACCAGAGCCAGAGTAGGGAACAGAGCAGGCAGACTGACGAAATACATTGCTGAGGGGAGCAGCAGGTGGCAGGAAAGGTCTGCACACCAAGTGGGACCCTCGCCCCGTGGCCGGGCGCTGCAGAGACTGTGGGCAGCTTCGCAACCCAGCGCTCAACCACTGCGCCACCAGGGGAGGCCCTGGACTCAGTTTTTCTATCTCTTAGGGGAAGGGAGATTGTGATCTCTAAGAGCTTTTCAGGTAACAATAGTCTTGAATCTCAGCTCCCAACCAGGGAGCTAGGATTGGGACCTCTGGATTTTACCCCTGGACCTGATTTGGATTGAGAGGTAAAGGAACCTGCAGAGTCTGATATGTATATGTGTTAGTGGGAAGAGTCAGGCACCTCGATCATCCTAGGGGGATTGGGGTAGGTAGAGCAGCCTTCTAGGCTGCAACTCTCCTGAGCTATTTATCTCTTTCCTACTTCCAAAGAGATGGTATAAAATGAGTTGTTCCTTTTTTTGGCAAAAAAGCCTTGCTTTTTTCTATCCTGAGGTGTGATGCTTTCCTAGTCAAGGAATCCCACTGTCAGGACTACAGAATCTGGTTCTCACATTCATTTCCGTCAACAGAGTAAACCCAAACCTCCTGAACCTTTGGGACCAAAGATAATAAAGGCAAGAGAATCACAGAACTGAATATGCCCATCTAATCCTAGGCACCAGACTGGGATAGGGAAAGAGGGAGATAGAGCAATAATTCTAGTACAGAATGATAAGTGCTCTGGAACCCAGGGAGGGCTTCCTGGAATTCCTTCTTTATAGAGTGACATGATCACATTTGGAAAGGTCACTTTGAATTGTAGGGAGCACATGCTGTTTCTTCTGGTTGGAGTGCCTCTTTCTACTGGTCCCTCTGGCTAAGTCCTACTTCACTTTCAAGTCTCAGCTCATGTGCCTTTTTCTAACCTCCCCTGGTTGGGTTATGCCTTGTATGTGTGCACAGCCCCCTATATAACAGTTATTTCTCTTAGCAATTGCCCTACTGAATTTTTAAAAAAGATTTATTTTATGCATACAATAACTGGGGTGTAGGCCGGAGGTGCGGGGGATGAGAGGATTCACCAGAGACAGAGTGGGGAGCAGAACAGGCATATCTACTGAAAAATACTGTTGAGGGGAGCAGCGGGGAGACATGATAGGTCTGTGTGCCATGTGGGTTAGCTCCTTGGCTGGGGATCAAACTCATGCCACAGTGGCTGGATAGTGCCAAGACTTTAACCACTGTGTCACCAGGGAGGCCCCATACTGAATTTTAACTGCTTGTATTGTCTTGTCTTCCCCTAAGGGTGAGAGATGGTGTTTTTCTTTCTTTATTTAACACAATTCCATGCCTATGAGAAATGTTTAATAAATATTGTTCTATGACTAAATGGATTAATTCCTTCTTGAGGAAGGGCAGGGAAGACTTCCTAGAGGAGGTAGCATTTGAGTTTGACCTTCAAGAATTTATAGTCAGTGGGAATTCCAATTCAATGGCAGATTGAATACATGTACTTTACTTCCATTCTCTCTTGAAATTATACTAAAAAAGTCAGGATTATTTTAGAAGCATGAACCCTTATGACAACAAGGATAGGAAAAAAGATAGAACAACACAATTTTGGAAGCTGAAAAACAGAAGGGGGAGTGGAAACTAATTTAGTAGACCTGAAAAAAGCTGAATTCCAAGTCAGCAGTGGGGAAAACTGAAATCAACAAACCATTTTATACTACAGGAATTAGAAGCAGCAGATATTTCTGAGTCAGCTGAGAGCCCTCTTTGATTCCTCATCTTCCTCTTGTAATTAGTCTAGGCCTGTTCCCTGCACCACACACAATGCCTGGCATGTTATAGGCTCTACATAGTATTTATTGAAATCATTCATTTGCACTGGGGGTACAAGTGGGGTGGAAAACAATAGGGTTGGTTTATGTTTAAGAATCATAATCTAGGGCCTCCCTGGTGGCGTATGCAGTTAAGCACAGCGCTGTGAAGCTGCCTGCAGCCTCTGCAGTGTGGGTTCGATCCCGGCCAGGGAGATACCCACATAGCATGGCAGACCTCTCCTGTCTCGCCCACTGCTCCCCTCAGCAGTGTATTTCAGTCTACTTGTTCTGTTCCCCACTCTGTCTCTGGTGAATCCTCTCACCCTCCTGCACATCTGGCCTGTACCCTGGTTCTTGTATAGATAAAATCTTAAAAAAAAAAAAAAGTGGGGCCTCCCTTGGTGGCGCAGCAGTTGAGTGCTGGGCTGCGAAGCTGCCCACAGCCTCTGCAGCGCTG